CAGGCGGCGACCTCTTTTAACAGCTGTATATGGGAATCGAAATCCTGGGATATAACCAGCAGATCGTCCAGATATACGAAAACATTTCCCTTTAATTTTTGTGGCATAACCAGATTCATGAGTCGACAGAGACGTTGCGCCGCGTTGCACAACCCGAACGGCATAACGCGAAACTGGTACAACGGGCGGCCTGGTACAGTGAACGCCGTATATTGCCTACTGTTGTTCTCCGGCTCGATCTGCCGGAACGCGTGCTTCAAGTCGATGCTGCTAATAAAATGAGTCTGGTCGATCCTGCTGAGTATGCCTTCGATGTTTTGCAAAGGGTAAGCATCTTTAATTGTCAACGCATTCAATTTTCTAGCATCTAAACATAGCCGATTTTTTCCAGGCTTTCGGACCAGTGTCGTTCGGTTGTTCCATGGGCTTTCGCTCTCCTCTACCACACCCAGTCGTAGCATCTCGTCCACTTCCTTGTACACCAGTTCTTGCACAGCGGGCGAAACGGGATAATGACGGTCTTTGAAAGGCGTTGCATGTTTAATCAATTGGATCGTATGCTTCATCAAGGGTGTACAACCTAGGCCATGTTCTTCGTACGATCGGAACTGCCTTTTAACTTGCTCTAGCCGTTCGTCTTGCTCTTGAGTAAGCTCGTGTGCTTGCTGCTCGCTAGTCTCCATCTTGTTATCCGTGAAGTGTTTGCGTATCTTCTCTGGTTCCAGTTCTTCGACTCCAAGGACGTTCGTTGCTAGCTTGAATTTTCTCCAAAAATCTACTACCAAGTAAGCCGACTGACATAGGTAAGGACATAAATAAAACGTGATTAATTGCTCCGTTTTTCAGAGTACGACGTGTCTCTGTCCGGACGCCGTTTTTACGCACGACCGGAATGGTTGCACTGGGATGCCTAACTCTTCTACCAGTTCTCTACAATCTTTTCCAAGTATACTTATCGATGCACCCGAGTCCAGCAGGCCTCGGACGGACTTTTCCCCGATCAGAATGTCCACAAAAGTTCTCGGATCGTCTATGTCGTTTGAGATGGTCGTCGCTGCCACTTCTTGCCGTGTTTCCTTACGTTGTGTGTATCGTTGGCGCACCTTTTGTACCTTCCGCGTGACCAAATTCGGAGTGCCTAGTGAATGCTCTTGAAAAATACGTTGACGTGTCCGATAATAATTTCGAATTCGCTGCTCTATTGGTTTTATAGGGTTTTCTCGAAAAGGATTTCTCCACTTTCTATTATTCTCACAAGGGTTTCGCAAAATTTTAATTTCTTTGTTTCTTTCCAGTGGTTCTTCTCGGTCGTTTAACTGGGGTTCGGTATTGGTGGCTTTATCTACTCCGAGACCTGTGTGGAGCGTGACTGACCCGGCACCGTCGCGTTCCGCATTCCATTTCCCGGGTTGCATCTTATACAATTCGGCGTGATTACCTCGGGTAAGTCGCACTTAAAACAAAAAATCTTTCGCTGAATGCCATGCACTCTGTAAAGGTATGACCTTCTTTATCGCTGTTCCAGCAACGTAGGGGCTTTTTAGTTTTAACCACTTCACGTGTTGCTACTCGGTTTGGCTGCCAATTCGGAAGCACCTCCTCGACGACGACTTGACCCTCATCGTCGCCGAGTTTATGATCACCGCTTCTATCAAACGTCAGCTCATTAGCATGATACGTTCTCTGAGGAACACTACCCAGTATCAGGCGCTCACGTCTTGGGAAACTCCTCTCTGCCTCTATGCACTCTATGCGCAGCTGATCCACCGTCCATATGGGAATTGGATAAACAATTCGCGCCAATGACTCCCTAAGGTTACGCTTGATAATTTTCACTGCTTCGTACTCTGCTATAGGGTTCCGCAAACCTATCCACGGATTCACCTGGCTGTTGCTTCCGTTCCGTCAGATCTCTT